AACATGTTTTCATTTTTTGCATTTTTTTCAATTTCCTATTATCTTCTGTTTATAAGACTTCTTTAGATTTTGGTAAAATTTTTCATAACTCTCATGTAATTTCGAAATTCAGCGTAAAATCTCCATGTATTTTAAAAATTTCATGACACCCCCTTATATTTTAAAAAACGTTGCATGAAACCCCCACCACCACGAGACCTCTTTTGTGTGATGAGAAAGTGATTTCCTATCTATATTTTTTCAATGATGGGGGGTTTTCATGCAATATCTCTTAAACTATAAGGGGATGTCATGTGATTTTAAAAGTAAAGTGGAGATTTCCACTGAGTTTCGAAACCACATAGGAGTTTCATGCAACATTTTTGATAGTATAAGAGAACACTATACAATTTTTAAAGTAGAGGGCGGATTTACGCTGAGTTTCATAATCACAAGAAAATTATGGACAATGATAAAATAAGAGGCCAACTTTGACAAAGATAATATCCTTTCTTTCAGAAGAAACACATAATTCAAGTCTTTTGTGATTACTAAATTATTTTTAATGGATAAAAATAAATTCAAAGTTTTTTCTAAGCTTGTCATTCTCTTGTTTTAAACACATATTTTTAGTCTTCAGATCATTAGTTTTAATATTTTTCATTTGTATAGTATCCTTCAGTTGATCAATCTCTGTATCGAACTTTTCATTAAAAAATTCTAATATATTAATTGTCTCAAGAAATTTTTCTTTTTTTTAAGGGACTTTTTTTGTTTATCAACCACATCTTCATATGTTTCAATCAACTTACCAACATCAAGCTCTTTAGTTTATTCAGAATTTTCTTCACAAGAGGTATCATCGTGAGCTTTTCTTAATTCGCTATTGTTGATTATCAAAGCAACAACTTCTTCATTATCACTTTCAACATCATTAGTAGCCACAATACTTTCATTGTCATCACTTCATGCTACTTGATATTCATCTTTGGTAGAAATTGCTTATAACTCTCCTATGGTTTTGAACACACTTTTTAAAGTAAAATGAAAATTTACATTGAGTTTCGAAATTGTAGAAGGGTTTCATGCAATATTTTTGAAAGTATAAAAGGACGTCATGCAATTTTTAAAGTAAATGGAGGATTTATACTGAGTTTTGTAACTACAAGAGAGTTATGAACAATTTTGTCTTCATATTTTTTTATTCTCTTGACCGTAGAACATTCGAGCCTAATATATCCAACCCCGCCATATTCAAAACATGTAGGTTCTTGCATTGGATCAAGTTTAGATGACACACTAAAATTTTTTCTTGATTATTATCTCTTTGCTATGTATTGCCCATGCATGTTGATTTTTATTTTTATTTTAAATAAATACTGTAATCGTGGCCTAGAAAGATAATGAAAAATTCTATATAAGACTATTTCTGTATAAAACATATTTGAAAGCTAATTTGATTATTATACCAAACGAAATTATATATGTTTTTCTTGTTAAACTGCAACTTAAAATATATAATATTTTATCCTATATATTACCACAGCACACAACCTTTCACCGTCTTTTTATATTTGGCAATGTCGAATTGGTGCAAGTGAATTGTTAAACATATTATTAATATTTTTTTCCAAAAAACAAAAACTGAAATTTCAATTCAAACAAAAAAATAAGTGGTTTACGGTCGAAATATGTTGGATTTGAAAGCAAACAATCAAAAAGTCGAAACCAAAATGACCACTAGTGTCCGTAAGGGATAGCCTAGTGGGGTAGGGGTTGGACTTGTGACAATGAGGTCATTGGTTCAAACCCCCTCATGTCACCTTTTATATGTGGTTCGCCTAATGTAACTTTTCTGTCGGATCCGGGGGTTTACCCAAATTAAAGTACATTATCGTAATTTTTGATAAAAATAAAATAAAAAATTAAAGTATTTTATTGTTTGCATTAGAATAAATTTACTAAATAAAAAAAAAAAATATATTAATATAGAATGAGGGGAGTATATAATATCTACAACTTTCAATTCAAACTATATGGAAAATAAAAATATATATATACATATATATTATGGCGCCCACTTAAAGAAAATAAAAATCCATTTGAATGGTCAAATAATATATTTAAAATTCTTTTGGCTAGAAAGCTTTTTGTTGGGACTAATAATATGAATAATAATAATAATAATAATAATAATAATAATAATAAAATAAAAATTGAAGTAACATGTGATGTGGAGTGAAAAGCTGTGACAAAATGATTAGGCTATTATTTATATGTGTGCAAGTATTCATTCCTAAATAACATAAATTGAAAGCAAAGGGACCCAATAAATTTAGAAATATATAATTGTCTTTATTGGGAATAATAAATGATTCTCTTGTGTAGGTGCAACTAACTATTTTACGTGCCTAAATTGCATGAATTAAAACTATGTCTATTTCAACCACTACACTAATTACTTCAATAAGTGACAAAAAAAATTCATTTGGCTTCTCTTTATTTATTTATTTATTATTTATTTATTGTTAAAATTTTATTCATTGATTTTTTATTTTTATTTTTATTTTTAATCCATCTTTCAATGCTCTAAGTATGAGACATGGGTCAATATTATTTTACCTTCGACGTTCTTTACAGAAAATTGAATATTGAAGAATATATTATTATTATTATTATTATTATTATAAAAAAATACAAAATACACATTCCATTATTAATTATTTTAATTGTTGTTGACAAATTTTGGTTGTTTGAAAGTATTTTGAAAGTGGCACAAATTTCAAAGAAAATAAATTTTGTATGCAATATTTTACATATAGAAAAAGGTCACTTTTTTGCCATAGTTTGAATGAAAATATGTATTTAATTGCGATATTTTTTAAAAGAAAACAATTATTACCTTAGAATTAATGATAATTAAGTATTAACAGAACTGAATAAATTAACCCATCTAACATAATTGTTTGAATCAAAATTGATGCATGATTTATATAAATAAGTGTTTTCAGATTAGTATTTCAAATAAAAGCAGATCTTTTATGTGATAATTTTCATAATAGAAATAATATATTACTACAAAAAGAATAAAATAGTGATAAGTAATTTTTTATGTAACTATAGTTAAATATATATTTGATTTTTTTTTAATGTAAATAAATTTAGATGTAACATATATTAAAAAAAAAAAAACAAATATTTGATATTCCCTCATTCTCAAAATCATAGTCTTATTGTATTGAACATATGATTTAAACAATATTGATATTATATTGGTAGTTGATAAAAAAGTAAGAATAAATGACTTTTTTGTCCTTGTGAATATATTAGTGTAAAAAGTAGTGACAATTGTGTAATAATAATGAAAAAGTAAAGATAGTTTTATGGTGATATGATTATTTATGGAAATGAGACTATTGTTTTGAGATAAGACAAAAATGGTAAATAAAACTATTGTATTGGAACAGAGGGAGTAGTTCTTTTAGATAAAATTAATAAAGTACAATAAATGAAAAAGTAAAGATAACTATAAGTTTTTCAGATTTTTTTATTATTTTTATATTTTTAAAATTCCATTGTATATATATATACATATCGTGGTTCTAGTCCGCGACAAACTAGTATCTAAATTTCGGATGACAAAATATTATAATTTATTTAATATTTAACTAATAAATTTAAATAAAAGATAATGACATAATTATATATAAATTTAGATAGCTTTGGAGGACAAAATTATATATAAATACATAATAATTAATATTTTTAATATTTTACTATTATATGTGTATATTGTATGTTTTTTTCAGTAGTATTTTTGAAAATTTGTATACCAAAAAAATACTAAACAAACACAGTCTAAAATGTTGTTGGGAAATTGATTTGGTAGCAAGAAGGGACATATGTGAATATGGTTGAATTTCATTATTGTAAGAAATTCTCTAAATTTGTTACAAGTCATTTTCTAGTAGTAGGTTAGGTTCATTCTCATTCAACCAAATTTATTTTAATTACTTTTCTTAATTATAATTAATGGTCATTAGCAATGTTCTAACATTTTGGGACACTAAAACTAATTATTTAAAAATAATACATATGCCAATATTTAATTGAGTAAAATAAAAAAAAAATGGACATAGATTGAAATGATTAGACTTATGCCACATTTAATTTTTTTTTTTTAAAGATATATAAGTATGTATGTATGTATGTATATATTATGAGACAAGGTTAATGATTAGAGATTATTGTCACTTTTCTTACAAAACATATTTCCTTTGAGAGACAGACCCGAACGTGACGAGTGAGGCCATATATCAGATCAATTAATTTAGTAATTGAAACAAACAAGTACAACTGTTGAAGCACACAGTACCTCTGTCTTATCAAACTTCACTTTCTAATGTGGTCCAACTAATCATCTTCTTTCACGTAATTCCCTTCTTAATATCCTTTCTTTTCAAGCACAAGGCTTTTATTATTATTTTTTTTATTTTTTTAAATAATTAGAATATTTATATTTATAGTGTTTATTAGTTTTCATCCTTAACTTAGACAGAAATGGATCGAATTCAGAAGTGGGCTTGTTTTTCTAAAAGTTATTGGGCTCAGCCCCATACACACCATTTTGTATTAACAATCACGTTTTAATTTATCTTTGTTTTTATTTTGTATTTTCTTTATCTCGCATAATTTGTTTAAAAATATAATTATATATTTTAATCAAATTTTAAATTTATAATTTATAATTTTTTTTATTTTAATTAAACTATTTAGTAATCTTAATCTTTAATTATTTTTTTAATCATAATTATTTTTACTAGTATATTTCTTAATTACTTACTAATTATATAATATCTAAACCTCTCAGCTAAGATGAACAAATTAATTGGGACGAAGTGTTTTGATATTGTTGTGGATACATTATCTTAGAGAAAGGCAAAAAATAAGTTGCAAAGTACATTGACAAATCAAACACGTAAGCATCAAATCAACACTCTGGTGAGCCACATCATTGACAACGTGTCATTTATGATGACGAAAAATCATTTCTTTTAATATATGTGTCCTATATAGATATTCAATTACCAAAAGAATTCAAACGCACAGCATCACAACAAACAACAAATTACAAACACAACATAATCCTGAAAAATAAAAAATTAAAAAACCAATTCTAATATCTATCTACATCACACCAAACCCTCTCAAACCCCATAGGCTTCTTCCCCAAGGGGACTGTTACAGAGCCACATAAAACCCTAAGCTTCCGGTGCACCTTGAAAACCCCAAACTTGAGCCTGATCTTAGCCCGGAATTCGACGTCGATGTCGACGTACCCCGCCGCCTGCTCCATTCTCAGGTCTCCGGCGACCGCTCCGTAGAGCGCCACCCCTTCTGCCGCCAGTTGCAGGTCCAGATGAGTCACATTCGTCCTCCCCTGGTAAAACGGGGACACATTGAGTATTGAAAGCTTCTGGTCCTCAAACGACGCCGTTACGGTGATCCTGTCGTAGTACAGCGACATCTGATGGCTCGGATTTGTCGCCCGGAGGACCAAATGGAAGGTGGCGTTCAGATGGTTGCTCTTCGTCAGGTTGTAGCCGCTGATCGAACCCTAATTTAATTTATTCATTAATTAATGCCAAACAGATTAGGGTTTGATTATTTATTTGGAGTATTTTTTTTCCTTATAATTTTTTGTTGTGTAATTTCTAGATTTTCCATTGAATATTAGCATGATTTTTTTATTTTTTTGTACCATTTCGAATTCAAATCAATATAATTGACCTTGTACATTTTAAATTAAAGAAAATATGCTTTTTTTTTTTTTTTTTTTCATAAACTATCACATAAAATATTATTTAAACAAAAACTCAATACTCCATTTCAAATTAATTCCAAACTACAACCAAATTAACAAATTAACTCAGGGTGTGTTAGCTTGTGGGGTTTTCATTTTGAAAATTAAATTTAGTGTAATATATAATAAATGAAAATATGTCTTTAATTTGGTAACGTACAAATCTTTAGAAAACCTACAAGTGCAACCTAAATTAAAGTGCCACAATTTTCATTTAAATCATTACATACAACACAACTATTTCACTAAAAATAGTGAAAATCTTAAAAAAAAAAAAAAAAAAAAAAGACTCCGTAATAAAATAAAAGAATTATTCATTGTTATTTACGTTTTTCCCACATTCACTCACATTGTGTTTTCATTTTTTTTTCCCTATTTTCTTAAAAAAAAAAAAAAAACACACATGATTAGTAAAGTTACCTCTTCTATGGAGTATCTGAGTTTTTTGGGCTGGACAGCAAGCCATGTGATGATAACAATGAGGCCGACGAGGATGACAAGGGCCACCAAAATCAAGCCGATGCATCTCACCAGAGACGAGCGCTGTGGTGGTGCCGCCGGCTGAGCCATCTATCTATGAATCCCGCGACTAATGAAGATATATGATTCCTTATAAGCCGTATATATACATATATATATATGTTGCTTTGATTTGAGGTTTCTTGGATGGAACTCAAGACAAATATTCTTGTCTTGTAGCTAGGGTTTAATTTGAAAGAAGGATTAAATTAAATAAATTATATAATGTGCTTAATTATAATCAATATCTCATTGATGGGAATATTGTGGGATGATATATTGCTTGTTTCTCAAGGGATTCCCAAAGTTAAATATATATGTTATCACTTATGAGGAGTCTCTTTTGGTTTCTATTGTAGTTTGTCTAACCATAAATATATTTTGTTGTTTAATATCTTTACAAATAACTTAAGCATTTTCTTATTGATTAAGTGTAATTTCATAATAATGATTAAGTATTATAGTAGTATTATTTTATATAAATAATATCAAAGTATTTATTTTAACACACATTCCTTATTAGATGTGAGTTCTTACAACTCTTATGGTATTTTAGTCTCTACATACTTACATCTTATCTACCGAATGAAAATAATATAATTTTTTAATCAACATTCAAATGGTATTTTGTAATTTGTTTTATTAAAATTGTTGTTCGAAGTCTCTTTAAAATAACAAAAAACAGATATTTCAAGTAATACTTTTTTTCAATACAAGTATTATATACTGTAAAATTAATATTAGTATTGTCTGTGGATGGATGATTTAGTGGTGTGGAAGTATACTTGTGATTATATGGACGTATGATGGTTTTCCCTACCATACACGGCTTATCTAATTTGATTTTTTTTTTCTTTTTTTTACTAGTATAATTTGTAAGGTATTGAAATTAGTATTGTGCTATAAGGATGTGATATTTAATTCTCTAAGAATGTAAAGGAATAAGTGAGCAATTACATAGCATATAGATAGAGTTTTGAAATTTTTTAGAAATAGTTAAAATTATTTATTTAAAAATTAATTATTTAATGTGATATTTTTTCGATCAAAATAGTATTAAAACTTACCAAAATATACATTAAGTAGAGTCTTATTCCTCAGAATTATCTATTGCAATTAGATTAAGACTTATATACAATTCATCTATTCCAAAATTATATCACTATTCTTTTCTTGTCATCTGTTAAATTCCTATGCAATTTATTTATAATAAACAATTTAATCCAACTGGACTTTTAATTACTTTAATAAATAATAATTAATTTTTAACTTTTTTTTCTATTTAACCCGCTACATTTTATTGATTGTTTAGTAAATTTTTGAAAATACTTCTATTTTATTTTTACATACTATATTATAATATTATAATATTATTATTTCTTCAACAATTTTATCCAATTAAATTTAGTGCTCCCTCCGTCCGTTAACAATCTATCCACATTTTTATTTTAGTACGTTGATAACAAAGTATGCATTCTTTTTTTTTTTTTTTTTTTTCTAACTAATATTACAAATATTTTTTCAATTTATAATATATTACATACATGTCATTACCGTACAATACTAATAATCAGGTTAGTTTAGTTTTTTTTACTTTTATTTCATCTCGATATAATACTAATATTTCTAAAACTCTGTGCAAAAAGTAAATAGATAGATAGATATGAAACGGAAGGAGTATAATTTTATCGTACTTGAGAGAAGAGATTAATAATAAAAACCCATAATCTTATTCCGCATGTGTGTAGAATTCACAAACCCGATCGAAGCACAAACATAAAAACCATTTATTTATTTATTTCAATCACCTGTAGATGTCTGTCTATCTATCTATCTATCTGTCTACCTAGTGATCCAAATTAAATTAAACGCAAGATTCCAATAAACTAATTAATTATGTACCGGCGCGGCGTCGGGGATGATGGCCGGCACGTGACCGGCGAACAATGCCACGTGACCCATGAGCTTGTCCTTGCGGGAAAACGTAGTCCCGCAGGAGCACCTCCACCGGAGGTTCCCGCAGTGCTTCTCGTGCGTCCGGAGGTCCGACAGCACCGAGAACTGCTTCTGGTTGCACCTCTTGCACACGTACATCTTCGGACAGTGGCTCCTCTTGTAGTGATTCTTCACACAGATCATCGACTTCAATGGCTGGAACTTGGAGTGCTTCTTGTTCCACCGGCACCCCTCCTGCGGACACGAATACTTTATATTATTATTATTACAACTATTATTATCCATTGATTCCTTCTTCGTCTTCCTTGGATTTGTCAGCGCCGCCGCCGATTTGTATTCCTCGCCGTGCGCCCGCATGTGCATCCGCAGATTGGCGTCGCGTTTGAATCCCTTGCCGCAAACCTCGCAGTAGTGTGTGTACTTCGCCAGAAGATCCGCCGCCGCCAGCTCGACGATGTCTGAATTCAGATTCTCGTCGGAATTTCCAAACCCTAATTCCGTCATCGTCGGATTGCTGCAATTGTACGATGTGGTGCAGTGATCTAGGATTGTGTAATCGGGGAATAGTGGGGGGCGGCTGGTGCCGCCGCCGGTTTCGGGATCGGGTTTGTTGTCTGGGGGGTCAAAATTATCCGGCGGCGGCGGGGGCGGCGGAGGGGGGGAATTGGTGGCGAGGGACATTTGCTGGCAGGAAAACATCATGGAGGAGGCGGTGAAGATGATTTCTTGGATCAAGGTACTCATTGTGGGGATGGCGGCGGCGGCGGGCGTTGACTCGTGCGGCGGCGACAAGAAAAGGGCGGCTAGGGATTGGACCTGGTTGAATTTTTCTTTCATGAGTGAGAGATTGTAAAGAAACCAGGATTGGTGTGATCCAGCTGGATTTGGGTCCATGGATGAAGACGACGACGACATTACACCTTGAACTTGATCATGAGGGTAGAAAGAATTGGCTCCATTCATCATCATAATCTATCTATCTATCTATCTCCAATTTGATTAATTTTGTTTCAAATCAAACAAAACTACAAACCCTAAACCCTAGCTCAGCTCGAAATCCATGTCGATCGATTATTTTCTTCTTTCTGCAATTAGATTTTTACGAATTGAAAAACCCTGGAATTTGGTATATTTATTTCAAGGGAGAATAGAGTAGTTGACTTAGCTAGAGATGATGATGTGGATCATCTGACGGTGGAGATGAATTGAATATTTGCAATTTTTAAGATGAAAAGTCAGCTTAATGAAGCCATCACCAATTAAGACCTCCCCGGAATGCCACCTATCTCATATCCTGACAAACCCTTCCGAGGATAGATTCAAAATGCTGTTCCCATAATACAGTTATATAATATGAATAAACAATGGTATTTTCATTAGACTCAAAAATCTCATTTATGTTGATCTTTTGTTAAAATATGACTTGGATTTAGTTATCTATCCAACCCGAAACTAAAACAAAAGAGTTGTTTCAATTGGCAGGGTCTCTTTTGGGCTTATCCTAATTAATAACAAATAGGCTTAGGGTTTAGGGTGCTTATAAATAGATAATTATAGTTAGTCGTATGACATGACTGTAACTCTTTGAATCAGTATAATAAAATCTCTTCGATTCCTGTCCGTGGACGTAGGTTGAGACACTGTCACCAAACCACGTAAAACCTCTATGTTCTTTATTTGTTTTCTTTCTCGTTTTCTTATAACAAGTGGTATCAGAGTCATATCTCATTGATTGAAGATGTCCTCGTATAAGTTTGATCTGGAGAAGTTTAATAGGTTGAATGACTTCACGCTCTGGAAGGTCAAGATGAGGGCACTTCTGGTTCAACAAGGATGTGATGTTGCATTGGAGGGAGAAGATAAGTTTTCTAAAGACACGAAGGATAAGATAAATAAAGAGATTTTGGTAAGGGTTCATTCCGCGATCTTGCTGTCAGTTATTGATGAGGTGTTACGGGACGTTGTTGATCAGACGACGGCTTTTGGGCTATGGAATAAACTGTGTGAGAATTACCAAAACAACTCTCTTACGAACAGGCTATATCAGAAGCAACGTCTTTACACCCTCCGGATGTCCGAAAGTAATCAGGTAAAGGATCATCTTGATACCTTTAACTGTATCATTCTTGATCTTCAAGGGGTTGAGGTTAAAGTAGATGATGAAGATCAAGCCTTAATTTTACTGTGTTCACTATCTGGTTCATATGAGAATTTTGTAGATAATATGCTATATGATAGAACTACAATTTCTATTAATGATGTGAAAGATGCCCTTATGTCGAAAGAATTGAAAAGAAAGGTTTCTCTGGAAGAGAGTTCAGGTTCACGTCTGTTTGCAGGTAGGGGAAAACCACATGAGAGGGGTAACGGAAATGAGAGGTCGTGTTCAAAATCAAAATCCTCTAGCAAAGTTAAGTGTTATCTTTGCAAGGAGAAGGGGCACGTTAAAAGGGATTGTCCACAGAAGAAGGAGAATACAAAAGTTGATTCTAGTAATAGTGGCAGCAGTGCTGCTGTGGTACAAGATAGTTCTAATGATGGGGACTTTGGTGAAGTTCTGACAGCGTGTAGTACTAGTACTGCTGATTCCTGGATTATGGATATCGGTGCTTCTCACCATATGACGTTCTCTCGTGATCTACTCACTTCTTTTAAGGAGTCGAAAGGAACGGTGAAGTTAGATGATGATGGGGTTCTAGCCATAAAGGGGAACGGGATAGTGCAGATAAAATTGTATAACGGTACTTTCAGGAAATTTGACTTTTGATATGTTCCTGAACTCAGAAAGAATTTGATTTCTCTTGGCACCTTAGCCAAGAATAGTTTAAAAAATCATGGTGAAAGTGAGTGGGTGAAAGTCCTAAAAAGGTGCTCTGGTGAAGATGAAGGGAAAACTGCAGCATAGAATTTATTTTCTACAGGGCAGTTCAGTGATGGGAACGGCGGCGGTATCCCAATCCTTGGATAAACATGACGACAGGACAAATTTGTGACACCGTCGATTAGGTCACATAAGTGAGCTAGGGTTGTCTGTGTTGAGCAAGCAGGGTTTATTTGGTTGGGATGTGATAGGCAAAATTCAATTATGTGAGGCTTGGGTAAAAGGGAAGCAACGCAGGGTGAAGTTTAGTACCGCTCATCACACTTCAAAAGAAATTATGGAGTATGTTCATTCAGATCTATGGGGTCCCTATCCGGTGAAATCGCAGGGTGTTCTTACTTTGTCACTTTCATAGATGATTATTCGAAAAAAGTCTGGTTGTACTTTCTGAAGTCTAAATATGAGGTGTTTGGGAAGTTCAAGGAGTGGAAGACCATGGTTGAAAAACGGATGGGTAAACAGGTCAAGACTCTAGGAACTGATAATGGGTTGGAGTTCTGCAACGCTCCATTTGATGATTTCTGCAAGAAAGAAGGTATAGTGAGGCACCGCACTGTACGACATACAACACAGCAAAATGGAGTTGCAGAGCGAATGGACCAAACTCTCATGGCGCGTGCTAGGTGTATGCGCATATTTGCTGGCTTATCTAAGCAATTCTGAGCTGAAGCAATTAACGTTGCTAGCTATTTGGTTGATAGATCTCCATCAACTACAATTGACTTAAAAACTCCTCAAGAGGTATGGTCCGATAAACCCTCTAATTACTCTAATCTAAGATCATTTGGATGCCTTGCATATACTCATGTGAATGATGGTAAGTTGGAGCCGAGAGCGGTAAAATGCATATTTCTAGGGTATGCAACATGAGTAAAAGGTTATCGACTGTGGTGTACTGAAGGTAAAAATCCTAGTAAATTTCTTATTAACAGAGATGTAACATTTGATGAATCAGTTATGCTTGATTAGAGTAGAAGTTGTGAAAGTATTGCAGGTACAAAAGATTGTGGTGCTGACCAGAGGGTGGAGTTTGAGACTCCTGACATAGTTATGTTAGAGGAAGAGCAGCAGGATAATACTATTGATCAATCCGATTAACCAGATCAGTCAAAACCTCAAGGGAAACCGATTGAGGGGGAAGTTGATGACGCTGGTACTAGGGTTGAAGATTCCATAGCAGCAAGAAAGGGAAAGAGAAATATTCAGAAATCAGCTAGGTTTGCAGGATATGTCAATACATGTGACATGAATTATGTGGTTTATGCACTGGTGGTTGGTGATGATCTTAGCTCTGATGAGTCAAAGACATATAAAGAAGCTGTCGCGAGTAAAGATGCAGAAACTTGGATTTTGGCAATGAATGAAGAGATGCAGTTTCTTGAAAAGAACAAAACTTGGGATCTTGTTGCACTACCAAAAGGGGTGAAGCCAGTGGGATGTAAGTGGGTCTTGAAAAGAAATGAGGAAATTCCTAGTGTTGAACCTGCTAGGTAGTAGGCGAGATTGGTGGCAAAAGGGTTCTCACAGAAGGAATGAATCGATTACCATGAAGTCTTTTCTCCTGTGGTGAAACACAAAACCATCCGGATTCTTTTGACAATGGTGGGTGCTTTTGATCTGGAGTTTGAGCAGCTTGATGTAAAAACAACATTTGGTAATCTAGAAGAACAGATTTACATGTCTCAACCGGAGGGATTCGACAGTTCTAAAGAAGCCCAAGTATGCTTGTTAAATAAATCTCTGTATGGCTTGAAACAGTCTCCGAGGCAATGGTACAAGAGATTTGACTCTTTCATGGTGTCTAATGGTTATACTCGTAATCAGTTTGATAAATGTGTTTACTCAAAGAAAGTTTCTAGTGATTCATTTGTGTATTTGTTGTTGTATGTGCATGATATGTTAATTGCATCTAAAAACATGGCTGTAATTAATGACTTGAAGACTCTACTAAAGGGTGAGTTTGAGATGAAGGATTTGAGTGCGGCAAAGAAAATACTAGGTATGAAGATCTGGCGTGATAGAGAAGCAAGACGGCTATGGGTTTCTCAAGAAAAGTATATTGAGAAAGTTCTGCAGGCATTCTCTGTTGATCAGTCCAAACCGGTAAGTACCCATTTGGCGGCACACTTTAAACTTGATCGAAGCACTATATCGGCTACATATAAAGAGATTAGCTATACGAAGACGGTTCCATATTCAAGTGCAGTTGGAAGTCTTATGTATGCGATGGTATGCACGAGATCAGATCTCGCTTATGCGGTTAGTGTGGTGAGCAGGTTTATGGCTAATATGGGTAAAGCTCACTGAGGAGTTGTAAAGTGGATCTTGCGATATTTGAAAAGAGCGTCTGATATTTGTCTGGTATATGTTGATAAAGGCCATGGTGATGGTCTGGTTGGCTATGCAGACTCTGATTACGGGGGTGACTTGGTAAAACGAAGATCATTGACTTGCTTTATCTTCACCCTGTTTGGATGTGCAGTCAATTGGAAGTCTACTTTACAACCTACGGTTGCACTGTCGACGACTGAGGCGGAATACATGTCAATGACTGAAGGTATTAAGGAGCGTATCTGGTTACATGGTCTGGTGCAGAGTTTGGGTCTGAAGGTGGAGAAACCGGTGTTATTCTATGATAGTAAGAGTGCTTTGAGTTTGGCTAAAAATCCAGTGTATCATGAGAGAACCAAGCATATTGATGTAAGGTTGAATTTTATCTGTGATGTTCTGGAAGAAGACAGGTTTTCTATTCATAAAATAGCTACAGAACACAATCCAACTGATATGTTAGACAAAGGCGCTACCGACGGAGAAGTTCGAGCACTACTTGAACTTGTTGAATATTAGCAGGAGGTAAAGTCCTTTCGGGGCATCTGGCAGAAAGGAGACGACTGAGAGATATTACAAACCTTTGGCGGTTGGAGAAACTCCAAGTTAAGGTGGAGTGTTAAAAAGCGATTTGGATTTAGCTGTTTACCCAACCTGAAACCAAAGCGAAAGAGCTGTTTCAATTGGCAGGGTCCCTTTTGAGCTTATCCTAATTAATACAAATAGGCTTAGAGTTTAGGGTGTTTTGGGGTGCTTATAAATAGATAGCTATAGTTCCTAGTCGTATGACATGACTGTAACTCTCTGAATCAGTATAATAAAATCTCTTTGGTTCCTGCCCGTGGACGTAGGATGACATTTCGTCATCGAACCACGTAAAACCTCTGTGTTCTTTATTTATTTT